GCAACATAGCATGACCTCCTTTTTTTTTTTTTTTTTTTTTTTTAAGTACTAACCAAAGATAAGTGAGAAAAGAGTACAGGAAGAAAGATCTTTTAGTTGGGAACATGTTGTTAATGATTAGGAAATGTTAAAAACACTCTGAAAAATAGAATATTCAGTCTCCCAAAAAGCTGGTTGTCATCTTGAACTTTCGCATTGTTTAGGGTTAGAAATACTCATGCCAGTTTGGCTAGGAGACCCTTAATTGAAATCATATACTGGAAATAGAATAAAATAATTAAAGTATTTGGGGAGAAGCAGATTTATTACTGAATATTAAAACTATGAATTTCCAGCAGTGTTTGTAAGGGAGCATAATTCTGTACTCAAGTCATAGTACTTAAATGTATAGCTATTATTCCATCACAAATCCAAAATTCTGAGGTCATCCCTGGACTGAATATTATTCTAGTTTTAGGAGGAGGAGGAAAACTAAGCAAAAAATTAGCTTTGTTACTTTTGTGAGATCTTTTGCTATGTCAAAAGGTATAACAGTGGTTTCGGTCAGAGGCTGAGAAATGAATAGGACAAAGATGGTTTGAAGAGCTAGAAATATTCTGAAGTGAGTGTAATCTGGATTTTACTTAGATTTTCTTCAGTGCTTAAGATTTTCATTATCCAGTGTAGAAGCCATCAGAATTGTGAAAGAAAAAAAAGACCAAAGAAACTATTCTCCATTAGATGACTTTAAAAAAAAAAAGGTAGAATTGAATATATGAGTGCTAAGAAAGAAAGCACGCTTAAGATGAAGGTAGAATTCAAATAGTGATCCATATTGACCAGAAAGACATTTTATAAAATTAACGTCTCTTTTACTTTTATTAAACATTGATTTTTATCACATTAGATTATATCTTTTGCAATATACTCATTTAATAATACTTTTTTCAGATTTTATTTACTCTATTTCCCCAAGAATTTATATCCTGATGACTTTAGATGTCAATGTATACTTTATAATCAAGTTATAGAACATCATTTTAAGCCATATTATAAAATAATTATATATAAATATATAAATAAAATATTTTTCTAAGAACATAAGTAAAAGGTGGGCAAATTAGATGTGTTTTATAATAAAAATTCCAGATTATAGCTATGTGTTCATACTTTTACCTTATTAAATATTTCATAGTTTAATTTTCAATAGAAGTTTTTCAATTTTTTACTTTGTATATTGCTGTCATTGCCCAAAGAAAATTTTAAAGCAAAATAAAGGGTACAAATAAAATCTAATTTCCCTAAAATTAATATATTTCCGTACAGTAAAATTAGAGTGAAAATAAGTCTTAAAATTTTTTAATGAACACATTAATTACAAATATGTTAAATTCATTTTTAAAAATCTTTTTAGAGTATATTTTGTTGCATGCTTATAGGCTAGAAAACTTTAACAAAGAATTTAGAGTTTTAATGTATACTTTTAAAGGATATCTTAATTATAGTACCTTTCAAAAATGCATGTACACACACACAGGCACATATACAATGGTACCTCAGTTCAGGAACTTAGTTTGTTCTATGATTTGGGGGAAGATGGCCACATTTATGTTTTTCACTCAGTATGGAGTTTGCGAATGGAAGCAAAAATCTTGTCAAATGCTTTTGTTTGAAAGCCAGATAGTTTGCAAACAGAAGCATTTTTGAACCTGAGTTATTACTATACTACCAACCTATAAATTCTATGGACTTTGTTGCAGTTCTCTCTTACAGAAAGATCACATTATGGGTCATCGTTTTATAGACTAAATGAAATCTTTTATGAAGATAAAATGTCATGAAATATTCATTGCTTCCTAAAAAAATTTAAAGTAGTTTAAGCTTCATTTGGAGCAACATATACTTCATTTGGAGAGGGTCTTTGGGAGAGAGTTGGAATGGAGACTGTTCCAGACAGGAGCAAGTGCCTAGAAAGTTCTGTGTATATTGCAAAAAGTTTGTTCATGTGTGTGTAAGTAATTTTTCAATCAGTTAATGGTAGAAGCACTGTCATACAAGGAAAGGATAGATAAAAAGGATGGGAGAAGAGCTTTGTACTCAAGAAGACTGGTTATTAATGATATAGCAGTAAACCTGAAAGTATATTTCAAGTGACTGTAAGAGGACTTCTGTAAGTTAACCAGTAGTTAGACAATTATGCTATAGGGTTTTAAATCAGATAATCTAGGATTGTAAAATTTTAAACTGATTTGTACTTCTGTGCCTGTGATCCAGTCTGGAGCATGCTGTAGACATCTGAGATTCAGATATTGCTGATGTGGCATAATCTAACTTTACACATTAAACTGCTTTATTTTAATGTATATTTTAATAGGTTAAGGAAATGGAAGGAATTCTGAAAAGAAGATACCCCAATTCTTTACCTGCTTTAATATTGGCTGCCTCAGCTGCTGGGGATTCAGCAGATAGAAATACAGTGGAATTCATGGAAAAAAGGATTAAAAAGCTAGAAGCTGACCTGGAGGGCAAAGATGAAGAAGCAAAGAAAAGCCTTCGTACCATGGAACAACAGTTTCAGAAAATGAAGGTAAGCACGAGGTAGCGAGGGAGGTGGCATTCAGAGATGGACCAGGGTGACAGAGCCTTCTTGGATCTCATTTTAAGAAACAGCCCTAAAAAAGGTCTGCCCACAGACCTTTGCCACAACCCAACATCTATTCTATCTTGTCCTCTTTCACTAACTCATTTTGACATAAAATGAATAAGCACAGGATAATCTTCACATCACTCCTCTCTGTGTTAGAATTAGTAGAAATTAAGCCAAGGATAAAGCAGGTAAAGCATCCTTGATATATATTCAGCATGAGATGAAAAAAGAAATTATCATGAATGACCATTATTTTCACTGCAACTTATCTAGATAAGGGTGACAGTGCTCTGAAAATTAAGGTCCCATCAAAGTAGATTGTGTTTCTGTTATTAACCCTCTTTATTAAATCTCTCAGCCCCTGTGTAGTGGTTCACTTTCTTCTCCCACTATCCTACCTCCTAATGTTTATTCTTTTACCACCCACCTTCACTTGTGCCCCAGTTCACTCCATCTCCTCCACTTATACTGCTGTGTGTCCAAAAAAGACTGCACAGTTGAGAGACAAGGGCTGCTCAGGTGCATGAGTGTCCAATTTCATGAATTCCTTCAGTGCTACTTGGCAAGCCTGTTGTGAATATGGCTGAGAAATTCCTTTTTCCAAGTTTTTAACCATTCGCTCTAATCTCTTTGTCAAGTTCATCTTCCCCTACCCTTACCCCATTCTCCTTTCAGCAGACCTTACCCCCTTTATATATAAACTGTAGCATAATGGGAAACACACCACTCTAGAGTCAGACCTTTGGTCTAGGACCAGTTCCACCGAGACTGGGATAGTTACATTCTCTCTCTGAGCCTCGGTTTTTCTCACATGTGCCAGGAATAATACCTGACTTCTTTCCCATTTTCCACTTTTATTTCACATTATCTTTCAGTCTCTTTTCAATAACATGTCACTATACTAAAATCCTTAATAAAAGGGCTGGGGATGGAGATATATGGTAGCTCAGTGATAACCTGTGTAAACTTCACATGGTCACTAGAGTTCAAATCCCAGCACCATCACAAAAAAGGTTTGTGTGTGTGTGTGTGTGTGTGTGTGTGTGTGTGTGTGCGCACGTGCGCGCGCTTTACTACAGTAGTTCCCTAACTAGTCTACACATATCATTGTGCCCATCTTGCAACTCTTGACACTAAAGCCAAAATTTTATTTTCATAACAGTCTGTCTTCTGTACACATATACACACCACTTGTTGATATCCTTTCAACAACTTCTTGTTGCTCTTAGGATAATTAAATAGCATTTATCAACAGATGACCAGGCATTTCTGCCCCCTTCAGTGTTTATTTAATGTCATATTTGTTCCTTTCAATCTTACTGGCCTGTTTCACCTGCTTGTCTTATCTCCTGTAGCCACAGAAATGTGTAGGTTTTGTTGCCACTGACTGGTATCCTCTGAGCTCCCTTTTCCCACAGCTAAGGTGTTTCTGTGATCCACATTTCAGCCTAAACATTGCTCCAATGAAACTCAAAAGAAATATTTGAACAATAAGCAGTGTTCCTGGAACTCCTGGTAAATGAATTACCTTTATATGTACTCTGAGCCCCATGTACCCACCACAAGTGCAGCCACTGGATTGCCCTGCTAGTTGTCTCTGCCTTCTAGATTCTGGACTCCATGATGGCTTGGTCTGTTCTGCTCTCACTCATTCAGCAAGGTGCCTGGCACAGAGAAGACTCACAGTAACAACTTTACTCCCTATATCACAAGGTATTGGGAGTATTGAGTGTCATATGAGGCCCTAGTACCGTGCCTGGAATATAACAAACAGTAAATGATTACAGTTATTAATTTTCTACCAAGCAAAAGTTCAGGTATGAACTCCAACCCTCTTCCCCATTTTTATAATAAATCTGATGACTTAACCTAACTTTTCCCCTTTTTACAATCCCTACCCCATCATCCCACTCCTGCCCCTGCTCATTACATGTCATTTCCTCCTTTTGTTTCTGTTTCTCAGAACACACCAGTCATTCTCACAGGTCCTTTCCTCCTAAAATGTCTGTGCTTCTACTCATCCCTTCATCCCCAATTTTATACTTCTCCCTCAAGATCAAACTTAGATACACTCTCTCGGTGCTATCTCCCACCTTTAGGCCTCCAGACTCTCAGGGCTGCCTCTCCACCTCTGTGCTGTATTCATAGGCACATTACACAGTTATCATAGTATATTGTAACTGTTGCTCTTTCACTTTCCTCACCAGGCTATAAACTATCTGAAAGTGAAAATTGAATCTCTTTTATAGAACCTACCACATTGCAAATTTGTGGCTTAATAAATATCATTGATTGACTAAGCAAACACTATTGGTGCCTGTCTTCATAAAGTAAACTTTTTATTTTGTATAGCAAGGCTCTGGTATACAGATTCTAAGCTGACTTAGTTCCTGTAAGATTAATAAATTGATGTTAGAAGTTTGAAAAATGTGCTGTTTTTCAGACTTCAGTACCCACAAATGCTTTATCTGTTTATCCTCAAAGAATATGTTTGACAATGTGCAAGGAAAGGGTGCATAATAGGTTGAAATTAACCTATTAATATTAATAATTTGTTGGTAGTAAGCCTTTATTTTTAAGGTTCAAATAAATTTGGGGGTATACAAGTTACATATATATTTATGAAGCAACATTATGAAATTGTATGACATGTCAAGATTATATGATACTGTACCCTTCAAACAGTATGGCTTTTATACATTTGACTCACAAAGAGAACTGGATATTCAGAATATATAAGAAATACCTAGGGCCGGGGATTTAGCTCAGCGGTTTGGTGGCCTTGCCTCGCAAGCTCAAGGACCGGAGTTCAATCCCCGGTACCAAAAAAAAAAGAAAAGAAAAGAAAAGAAATACCTGAATAAAGGATTCAATAAGACTGGATAGAATGCAGGGCCTATAATGTAATGTTTAGCAGGGCTTTGATACTACATGGATTCTTTCTTTAGATCCAGTATGAACAGAGACTTGAGGAACAGGAGCAGCTACTTGCCTGCAAATTGGAGGAAACACCCCAGAACCAGCATGAGAATTCTAGGGTTAAAGCACTAGAAACAGAACTGAAGGACATTAAAGAAGGCCATCAAACCATTGTGAGAAATCTTGCAGCAGAAATAGATGTTCTTAAACGTCAGAATGCTGAATTAGAACTCAAGAAAGATGACAAAGATGATAAAGACTTCCAGTCTATAGAATTCCAGGTGGAACAGGCCCATGCGAAAGCTAAACTAGTAAGACTAAATGAAGAACTGGCTGCCAAAGGAAGAGAAATACAGGACCTTTCAAAAACTGTGGAGAGGCTTCAGAAGGAGAGAACAATGATGCTGTCTAATCAGAATACAAAGGGCAGAGAGGAAATGAATGCCAGAAGGGTGAAGAAGGATGTTTTGCCCCCAAATAAAGGAAATGCAAACTTCTCTGGAACCCTGGATGGCAAGCTGTACCAACCACATACTTTTACGGATTCCCGTATTTCAGAGGTTGTACAAGAAAACTACAGATTGAAAAATGAGCTAGAGGAATTAATTTTGGAGAAAAATAAGCTGACGGTGGAATCTGAAGCAGCAGTGAGCCAATTTGAAAACTCCATGAAAAGGTAGTCTTAAATTTTGTATAAATTCCTGGAAACCTAAAACATTTATTTTAAATCCTAAGACATTTTGTCTGGTTAATCAGTTTGACATGGAACCAAATTTGTAACTAGATTTTTAAAAATTGTATTACTTTGCATACATTTCAAGATAGCATTCTGAAGCTGCCAGAGGCTCAGATTCTGATGAACAAAAATCTGTGTCACCTCTAGCCATGTCTTTGGCTGACCAGTCTTGGCTTTCTGTATGTATCCAAGTGATGTAAATAATCAATAAGCAGGCCGCTTGAGCCCTTCTTGTAAAGGAAATGCCATTTATGACTGCTGTGGGCAGATTGCTGTCAGAAAAGAGCTATTTTTAAAATTAATTGACCATCTAAGAGGAAGATTCTCTTTTCAAAAGTAACTTTCAGACTACCCTTATGGTCCATGCATGACTTTAAGGAACTTTACACATTCCTTTGCAGAATCTCCAGATGCTACCCACTGTCTCTTTCCTGTGTGCCTTCTGACATCCTCAGATCCTCTTCTCCTAATCAAACCAAGTTCTAGTCCTCTTACTGTGTGTCAGTCCAAGTTTCCCACATGTAGCTTCCCCTTCTATTTCTACCTCACCTCATCTCAAACATGGCTCTTTTCACTACTTTTTACAACTTGTTCTCTCAATAATGATCTTTCCCCATCCCATGACATTTTCTGCATGCTTATTTTTCTTGAGTGTGTTGACTACATAGCTTTTCTTTAAGGTTCCCCTCCTTAACCTCCAGAACTTAGCAACTCTAAAACATTTTTTTTTTTCTGACTTGTAGTTCCATTGCCTTTCCATCCCCGAAGTCTTTCTACAAAAGCTCAGTTCTTGGCTTTCTGTTTCTTATATTCTTTCTCTGTTGCTAAACTTCTATATTCCTTTTTTTTTTTTTTTAACTTAGTTATTCTTATGGGTCCTGTGAATCATGACTTCTAGATTTATTTTTCAGATTTGTTCTCAGATGTCAAACCTACAACTACTGGTTTGGGTTACTTTTCTTAGAATCAGAAGTACCTCAGATTTTCTCTTTTTTTACCCATAAACTAGTTCCCCCTCCTGAGCTCTCCATCCTGGTCTCTGGCCGCATTAATTCCAACCACCGGGCCCAAATTTACTTCCTTTTAACTTGGGTTCATGGTATGTAGGGTGTCTCTATAAATATTCATCATTTAGCTTTCTTCTTCATTGTAATAAACTAGGGCAGATTGCCTGATTTACTGTCAGTTTTCCCACCCTGATCACCCTTTGTTGATCCCCCAATCGTCGTGCTTAAAAAATATTTTCATAGGGCCAGGGATTTAGCTCAGTGGTTCTACCACCTGCCTTGCAAGCGCAAGGACCCAAGTTTGATCCTCAGTACCAAAAAAAAA